GAATATATATGTTACTTCCATAACATGCTTTATGTTTTATGCTTGCTTTCTGTTGTCTTATGGCTTGAGGGGCTAAGGCGTTGCGATTCGCTGTGCAGAGTTGCGTCCCTCGGGCACGCCAGAAACCTATGATTGTGGGTTCGAATCCGGGTTCGCCCCAATTATGTTTCTAGGTATGTCAGCACCATACCCGTTCTCATTGGTTTCACCGAAGTGGTAAACGTCTGAGACCTGCATCACTTCGGGCTGACACAACGCGATATAACTGGAACACTGTTAAAAGCGGCGTTAAACCCAACTCGCTCCATCACTCTTATGGCTTGGTCAGATGGTAGGTAATAAGGCCAAGTCATCTATGTGTCAAACCCTGGATAAGTCAAACTATTACCCTGGTCCCCAGGCATTCAAGACAACAGGGTTCAACTGTACATTCTTTGCTGAGAGACAGTATTTTTTTTCCTTCTAATTTCTTCTGTTTTATTTCAGATTTGGAAAAGCTTGCCTTGATGATTGTGCCAACAACTTGTGTATACTTATGTGCCAAAAATGAAACTACTCAAGGACCAGAGGAAACTGAACAAATTTATAATTATGACTTTTGTACATATGAATGAATTAATGTTCTAATGATGCCTTTTTACTATTCCTGATGAAATATATTTTTGATCAATTTGAAAAATAAATGTTTTTGTTTTTTCAAATTTGTTCGTCTTCTTACTGGTGTGTTTGATAGTCCAATGTCAATAGAATGAACAGAGTGGATCAGTTGTGGTAGGTTGTTTTTATTTGCCTCTTTTACATATTATATTCATAAATCCATAAGAAATACATGTAAAGTACAGTAAAGTCCTACCATTCCCCCTACTGTGATGTGGCTATCAGTTGCTCACTCACTCAGAATGTGTGGAGAGGTATTCTCTACACTCACTCACTCACTCACTCACTCACTCACATGGAATGTGAGGACAGGTATTAATACGGGGTGAGGAAACTTTAGTTATATATAAAGTGGAATCAGGCAGAAAGCTGCATCTTTGTGCAAGTAAGAGCATGTTTCTACAGAACCCTAATGTATGTGTGCAAATGTGGACGTTTCTTCACATCTTGCCTATGAACAGATTAAAGTTACCGAAATAGAAACATAGCCATGAACTCACTTCTGACGCATGTCTGTATTTTTAAGATAATATTTCACATCTGAATACATGTACATTTTTCAGTATTCAAGCTGTCATTTATTTCACCAGATTGTCCGTTTGCTGAAAAATAATTGTGCAGGTGCTTCTACATTTAAAAGCCTGTACAAGAATAGCCCCATGCTTTATTGTTGCACCCTAATTTCAGTGTTTTGTTGTCAGTGGCAGTTTGTTGAGAGGAGAATTGACAACCTTGGGAATGGAACTGATACTTTAAAAGATATTTTGGACAAACATCAACAGTTATTAAAATCCTTAGTATCTTTCAGTAGATCAGAAACTGTGATGTGAATATGATCCACATATAGTCCCAAAATATAAAGAGAGATATTAGTAAATGACATTAAAAATATAAAATATGTCAATTCAAAATCTCAAATGTATACTACTCAAAAGAAGTAAAGGATCACCCGATCCTTTCATATTGGTAATGTTAATCTGTCATGGCATGACATTAACTATTGTAATATGAAAGAATCAGGTGATCCTTAACTTCTTTTGAGTAGTATACAATGTATTGAGCAACAGCATTCTTCTTTGTATACATGATGAACTATACTCCACACTACGATATTGATATACATATATGAAAGATATTAGCACATAATTGATATGTGAAGTTGGAATATGATGTCATTTGTTACCAAACTGCCATCAACTGCATACAAGAGCTTGACAAATTTGGTGGTGGCAGTGTAATGATATGGGGAACAAACTCCCACACTGATAGAACATGATAGCATCATCGTGTTACACATAAATCCCAGACTTCATATAGCATGTAACAGGAATCACAATGTACATGTCCCATGGCCCAGTGTCATCCTTTACCACAGACTACAACAGCATTCACATGCACCACAACATGTGATCCTTAATCTGATTTCGTCTGTGGGCAGGCAGTGCCAGACAGTACTTAATGTTAATGGTCGACACACAAGATGTTGATATCTCGTGACCTTCACCATCATTTTCCGTGCAATGTCTTCATATTGCACACATGTCCGCTAATGTTGTGTTTGTGGCAAATATTATGCCATTACTTAAGTGTTCAGATGTGCAGTAAATGTGTGCTTATTTCCACACCAAACATCTGGTTATTTATTTCATCATTATCTTTCTTGCTTACTGTGTGTCTTTAAACTGCTCAAAATGGTCTTGTTAAAAATATCCAAAGCCACAAGAAGAAGACATGGTCATGCATTTTGTTTTAAATATGGAATGATATCATTTTTAGAGGTGATTCTAGGTCCCAAGCCACCATGTTTGCTTACTTACAAACTATCATGAAATTGCTGGAATATTGCTGACATGGGTGTATTCGTTCACTTTGTATTCAGCAACTTTAATACAACATAAGGTGGCCTCATCCTTAAATCAAGAATATATAAATTGATCTGTACTGGATACGTGCAATTTTCCAGATCTGTCTGCCTGTGAAAGAATATCAGCACGTTTGGTAGACACTCTACCATCTGCTATAAGAGTTAATGAATTGATTTTGTACAAATACAAGGAACAATAGAAATGCCTTTCACAAGACAAGTTTTAAATATGGGGAAACCATTTATTTGTATTTATACCATGTCTTTGATTTGATCTAGAGCAATATTCTAGGTACTTTATTAACAGAGGGACCATGCTGAACAATATGTTTGGCCAATTTCAGTTTCCAGAGGTGCCTTGTGTGAAACTATATATCTGTGTAAGTAGGTAAATCATAAATTGTTACATATATTTACTTCATACAATGATAAAATATGATACAGTGATAAAATTACTGCATTAAGACTGCTGATTTACACAAGCCTAGTCCCCCTCTAAACTAGAGCAGTGACCCTTGACATATGTGTCAAACTCATTTGGTTAACAATAGGCTGGGTGGGTATACCAAGTCTGTTTCAATTGTGTTATTTATTGTTTTTAATCCTGTCACAGTGTATGTAAAGTTGGATCCCCCAAAATACTTTACCTCCATAACTGCCTTTGTTGTCAGCTTATCCAGCTCTGTTTGTTGCCATGGCTGCCACAGTTTTGGGGAAAAAACTTACTGCTGGCCTGCCTTCAAGTAATTTGAGATAAGCGCAATCATTTCAAACTTTTTAAGCTTTTTCATCAGCATCTTTAGATTTTGTTTCTAAGAGAAGGAAACTTGAGGGAAGCTGTTTATATGTATGTCCATTTAGTTCATCCTAAACATAGAGGATTGATATGCAATCATAGACCTTCACGATATGTTTATATTAGCAGTAAGTAAATACATGGTAAGGGCTGATAATATATTCTTCCACAGAGGGGATGTAAGAATTTATTTAACGTGAAACTATCGTGATCACATTTCTGTCAGCTCATGCTTTAGCAGTTATTTTAGTCTGAAATGCAAAAATATTTATCAGATTTCATGCCAAGACAAATCATAGCTTCCCAGAATAGCCTCTCATCATACTCTGTGCTCCTGAGAAGTTCTGAGCCTTACTACAAGTGAGTGAGTGAGTGAGTGCACAGCGAATTGCGGCCCCTTAGACGACTGGGCCACCCATGCCACCAGCCTTACTACGAAGTATGTACAGTGCATGTCAGAAGTGGAATACCTTTCATGCTTACAGGCTGCATTTCCACCAAATACACAACCAGGCAGCATTTTTCTGCAGGCATCAAAGTGACAAGGTATTCTGTTGATGAAAATGGACAAAACTGGCTACAGCACAGTCATCAGGTATATCCAACTCAAGGGTTGACTCCAACACTCATCCATGCATACATGGTGTCAGCTGTAAGGAGTGATGCTCCTTTCTTTGCCACTGCAAAGAGAGCCTTGAAGATGATCCCCACAAAGGAAAACGATTATCGTGGATCATCTCACCACACGTCACAGCCAATAGAGTAGAGAGAGAACATTCTGAGGAATGAACTGGGCATGTTTCAGCATGGCTGGGCCCAAGGCTTCTGATGACATGTCGTCTTCTGCAGTGGAGGACTATTTATATCAGCGGGAGGAAGACTTCTTCAGGGGTGGGACCCAGGTATTCCAGCTTTGTCAGCAGAAGTGTACAGACCTTGCTGGGGATGATGTTGAAAATACCTCATCATTATCATCCACCATAGTTTTCAGGCACCCTACCACGACAGAAGGCTGTTCCTGAATACTATGAAATATTTACATAATACATTCAAATACAGTTCCTCTTCAAGGATTTCAATTATTTTTAAAGATCACAAGCAACAGCAACCGGTGCCTTGTACAACAAACATACATCATGGTGATGTATGACCTGGTTGTGATATTGGATCCAGTACAGTGTAGGTTGATGCTCAGACTATCAACTCCTTGTTAATTTTTTGCTTACAATAAATATGTACATACAAACTTACAACTGAACTAAAGAGTTTAATCATCCTTTCTATTTTGTTGAAATACTATATATATCTGGGCCATAGGTGTTATTTAACCTGCAGTATATGGATATAGATATATAGATATCTATAAGTATGCCAATGTCTCATTGTCTGACCAGGTTCCTTTGTGCTGCTTTCACCAATGTTAATATTTTCATTGTTGGATCATGGTCAGGTAAATATTGGCAAGTGTATCAAGGACAGGTACAGAACTAGATACATTATGGTGAGAATCTGCTTTGACCTGACATCATATGAATGTAAAAATGAGCTATATATGGTGGATAAATATTGTTCTCAATTTTGAATGTATCCATGATCCAAGAATAAAAAACCCATGTACTTTCATCTATCTTTGTAACAGTCCTAGTGGCTGACACATAGCTTCAAAGAATACAGAAAATTCTGTTCACAGCAAACACATTTTATTGAAGGAGTTTACAAACTCATGCACATGTGGATGAAAGCCACGCCCCTATCACACAGTTCACATCAACAGCACCAATAGAAAGCACACATCTCGAACACATTCATGTCATTCATACCAGATCGAATCACCCACAATACAGCAGTCAAGATGGTGGCAAGTCGTACACCACCAATGTCATTTAACATGTTCTCAGACATATTGTCTTACTATTTCATTACTCAGTTTTTAATAGAATGTTTAGAACATCAAGAGAACAGCAGTTCTAGACTGGTTGGTCTAAGAGGAATATGAGCAATTCTTAATGAACATTGTTGAAGAAAAGCTTTGTTTCTATGACGACAATGTGATGACCTATTTCTTAATCCATCCACCTTTGTCCAATCAGGACACACAGAACAAGCATGTAACACTTAATGCTTACATCAATGTCAGGAATGCAAAGGACCAAGTGAAAGGCAAGATAACTCCATTTTGTATTTCTAATTTTATCTTGATTTGTTATTTTTTAACTTGTAAAAATACTCCAGTTAAAAATATTGGCATTTTACAATCACAAAATACAAAACAGAGCTATCTTAAGCCGCCTTCAAGAAAAGGATGAACATAAAATAACAGCAATTTTATTATCAATGACAAACATAAACTGATATGAAATGTCTTATAAAAAAGATACTCTAGTCAAAGACTCAGTAACGCTAATTGAGCCGTTTTCATTGGGATAACAGTCATGCCATGACCTAACAATGTCAGGGGTGTATTGCTGCAGGTGCAATACATACTGCCACACTATCATCCTAACCCATACCGAGGTTTCACCAGGTGTTCAGGATCATTCCATACAAATGCAACAAGGTACTTTTCATTAAGTAAAATATTATTGATTTTATTGCATGTAAGGCCTAAAAGCATATAACTATAAATGCAGCAAGGTACTTGATAGTGTAAAACCTTATTAACTGTAATAAGTAAGCCTTAAAAGAAAAGTAACAATTGTAATTAGTTTTTAAATTTGTAAAATTTTGCTTTTAATTTGGGGATATAAACGGGTTTTTTCTTAATGGCTGCTCTGAATTGCTGTATCACCATGGCAATACATCCCTTAACAGTATCCCTTATATCACGTGCAGACAACCAGTTCAATAAAACAAAAAGCTACAAGATATACAGTGAACAACATAACTGAGAGGAACAACTACCTCTATAAGCCAAACCAAAATTATACACATAGGTAAACAACAGGGGTTAAATAATGATAGTTCAAAATCTACAGCCTCAAAAGTCTTGAGCTAAGGTAAGCCCCATGGGCTTTGCATTATTCTGCAAACATCAACATCTAGGGGTATGAAATACTTAAATAAATGGAACCAATTGATTGAACTTGACATAATTTATATAGGCAGATATACACAATATATTCTCAAGATATGTAATATGACTGCAAAATCACAGGCATTCAAACAATAACCCCATCCAAGAAAGGTCTGTAGGTAGGATTCTTTAAATATTTATCATTGTCTGTGAGTAAAATATCAGGCTGTCACGGTTACTGTTAAAAATGGATATATTTAAGTACCATATAGGTGAACCTGCATCCTAGTATGATTCAGTCAGGTTCAATCAAGCAGATCTCAGAATATAGGAGTACAGACTCTAATCTACAGAGCAAGCATATTGCATCTTATCGGCCTTGACTCCACAGCAGAAGAGCTACAACATTTGATCTTCAATACATCTAAAAGATTTCAATAGAAGGTGAATCTATAAATGATACAGTGAAACAGTCATTTAAATATGACTTCTAAGTGTACACACAGCTAGACACAAAACTGATGGAACTAAACGCGGCGCTTCTTAGAAGACTGCACCATGAATAAACCAAATTATACAAAATATATGATGATATTATGATGCGAAATACACAGAAGATGTCTCTTCTTATGTCTGACAATGAGTAACAATTCTTTTTAAAATCAACTCCATATCTTGTCTGTGGATGGAATTTAAGAATATTTGACCACGTGTGCTTAAAAAGCTCCTTCCATGGATCTTAGTAAATTGGAACAAAATTATACACACAATGTCTTCAAACAGTTTCTGCTTAGCAAGGGATAATGCACAAATATATACAAAGTATTCATACCCGGAAGTCAGTGAATATTTCAGTGACAACCCCCAAAACGAACAAAAAAAATTCAGAAATGTACAGATCAAAGCGGACTTTTGGTCAGTGGTAGAATGTATTATACCGAGTGGGAAATATGACCCTCACCAACATGGTTGAGTATATCATGTCTCCCTCAAGGACTGGTCCTTCAAGGCATCACTCCAAACCTCCATTCTTACAGTAAAAATCCCTCAGATACATTGGAGTGCAAATATTGTATGTCAATATTAGAAAATGTGGTTTGAAAAGTGTAACCGTACACAGAATAAAATACCTGAATAAATTTGACACATAACTTGATTATACTACATCATCAAATCCACTTGTGAAAAAGTGAGAATAATTTTCCACTATTGTGAAGAGACTAACAGCTTGAGCACTATCAGTTGCATAGGAAGCAGTTCTCTGCCGAAAGTTAACCAGAAAACTTCAAACATGTCTGCCGAGGCTGGCATTGGTAAATCACAATAAACCTGGTCAATAAGCAGAGAGAAGGCACGCGGAAAGGCACCACACACATTAAGCAGGTCATGCAAGTCTCCGTAGCACCACAGTTGCAGATGTCATCGTCACGCTGCCCCAGTTAGTTCATCCGTCGGCAGTAGTAGCCGAGCATCTTGCACTTCTCACACAGGTGCTGGGGGTGGACTTTGCTCTGGTCAGAAACATCCAGGCCATCCGGCTTTTCCAGTGGACGCTGGTCAAATAACAACAGGACATGGTCAGTCACTGAGGACCAACGGACAGCACACAACACTTAAAGCGACAATGTCCGCCAAGGAGGGGTGCTTCCACAACAGTGATAAATATTTAACACACAACATTTGCACAACTTATTTTATTAGACACAAAATTTAACTCATTTGTGGTAAGATGTATTAAACCATTATTGTTAAGGAATTGTTCAAACAGGATCATGAATTATTTTGCGACTGTCCGGATATGGTGAAAGGATGACGGACAGAGTCGCTTTAATTTTGGACGTATATAAATGATGCGCTTACCTTCTCCAAGAATTCATAAGGTCGCTGAAATAAACACAAGCACACACTGCATTTTATCCAAGTCAAACAGTGCAACATACCAAACCGGTGTGGGAAAGCATGCAGTGTGATGAGCAGGGTGGAGGCTATTCATAAAGCACACAGACATTAGTAAATAATCGGATCAATTCATCCATTTTCAATATACTTTCCATTAATGAATTATTCTTTCTTTTACACCATATCTGCCACACTGCATGCTTTCTCAGAAATATAAACTTCAAAACACAAACATTTGCACATATGTGCAACAAAACTTAAAATAATTTACAAATACAAATTATTTTCAAAGCCATTTAAAACACTTCAAAAAGAACACAACTTGTGGAGGCCACACAAAATAAAATGGGTTGTAGGGTTACGTGATGAGCATTAGAAAGCTTGAAGAATTAGAAGAGGTTATGAGAACATTGTGAAGATGGCAGATGACTCACCTGTTTGTGAGGGTAGACGTTGATGTGACACTTGATGCACTCCTGTCCCATGTTCGCCCAGCTGTTCCCACTCATCCACTTGCGCTTGCACTTGGGGCACTTGTACTCACCGAAACATCGCTTCTTGCCCTGGTAGGGTGTGAGACCTTCACCTTTGGGTCGGGCCTGAAATACAGAGGTCAGACAGTGTTAAAATGTATCGCTAACATTTCATGGAAATGTCAGATTTGTTGTATACAGGGAAACATAAGTTACAAATCTAGTCCACAGCTTATTGCAGAGGTCATAACGTTTCAAAATGGTGGGAAACAACTTTTCCTCTTATATTTTCTAGTCTCTGATGAATATTGAAAATGGATGACATTTTGCCGTGTCTACCAATGAAAATGTCTAAATGACAATGGCCAGACTAGTATCAGGGTCTGGCTGTTGTCATTTATCCACATTCATACCATATTTGGTCTATGAGCCTTGCAGAGCTTCAAATATCAGAAATGACTGATAATGTCACATTCCAGTATAGTTCCACAGGCCAAAGTGCATGTGATGTGCTTAGGCAAGGATGGCACACAAGGGCAACCCAGTCAGCTATGTCATAGCAAGAAACATACATCGGACGTGGGAGGTGACCCTCCCACCATTGATCCCACCACTTCACAAACAAACAAACTATAAATGGTTTTACTATCTTTGTGATATACAATGAATGCTATTGAAGAAAGAGCAATCCTTCAAAATGCCACCAACCCATTACCCTAATTCATCCTTCTGTTACATGAGATTGCATACGAAGTTATGAGTAGCATGAAGTCTACAACTTGTGTCAAATGTAGCACTACCAATGCAGCACCAATAGATTGATCATATACTACATCTAGGGACTAATTTGGCAATTTGTTTTCTTCATTGAAACCAGAGTTCCATCCTCACCAGAGTTCCATCCTCAACTGCTTCCAGTTCTATGTCATAACAAAGCAACCTTAGTCCCAGCATGCAAATATTGAAACATTTTTACCATTCTATGAATGTTAAACATTTCTATGAATGATCGAATATTTTTCAAATGTCGGCTCATGTCCTGGCAGAAGTGAGAGGTAATGCATCTCCATGTATGAATACATGACACTTTGTTATGTTCTTTATTTATTCTTTGTAAAAGGGGCAAGAAGTAGTTCAGAAACAGCTACTTCTTGCCACTTCATTATATCTACTTCTTGCATCTTCATCAGTTGAAGTTGCTATCAATATTAATGTGCCATGTACTCATGTTCTTCCAGCTTCTGATGCCTATCAAAGACTTTATCTCTAGGTATGTTAAACCTGAAATTAAAGGACAAACCATGGCCATCAATATGTAGCAAGTAACCATCTGGTGGGCTGAGTGTCAGAACAATGTGTAATGATGTATGCCAGAAGAAGTTTCTTTTAGCTAAATAGCTGGGACAAACATGAGCAGCACGTAACACCATTCAACATATAGAACATTTGAAAGCTAGTTCTGAAGCATGTACAACAGCTATATGGATAAACTATACTATTTAATCCTGAAAGTCCAGAATAAACATTCATTTCGAGTCTCATATGTCAGAAGGTTGATGAAGAGTTGGTCATGATGCTTCCAATGCCATATTGTCCCATGCTGAGTGTAAACCCACTATCACTGCAGGGGCCGATACCTTGTAGTAAAGGTCTCTGAAGTTTCAAGCTCATTTATTCTGTTCCAGCTGAGCCATAACAACCCCCAGAAGATCCCATCAGGAAGTGCTTAGACGGCATGCATTAAGACCCCAGATTGCATCAGATAGATAGATACATAATTGTAATAGCCTCTTGGTATATATAGACAAGACCATACAAACACTAGTACCTTGATATAACATTGCCATTGATGTGGGTCCTGGATTTTTTTTTGTAGGGGAGAAAATATTTTCAGCTTTATATCTTTTACAAAATAGCTAATTTTCAGACATCCAACATGTCCATGGAACAAACTGTGTTCAAAAACTTAAGCTAAATAATTTTTCTTTTACTGTAACCCAATATGTACTTGTACCTTGGTATAAAAGGCCACCATTGCATGAATTTGTACTAGTTAAGTGCCAGTGCTGTCGACCTACTACGCTATCCTAGCTTCAGGCTGTACTTTTAAACATAGATATGGCTGCCTGCCAGCAAGCCCACAGCAGACTGAATCAGACATTCATAGGGTGTCCTATACTTACACAGCAGTTTTTATACTCTCCAAATGGGTTTCAGGGAATATCTATTAATAATACTAGCAATTCTATCACGTAGGGGCCTGACCTTCGCCTACACCCTGCTCTTATTGGTGAACAGAAAGTACATTTTCGTTATCAAACAGAGTCCCTAGTTGTATAGCATGTACAGTATATACAGTATTTGCATTATGGTTATACTTTACACAACATAAATATCTCTACAAACAGATATGTAAGATCATGTCAATTCCAAAAAAGTTAATTATAGGAATATTATTCCATTGATACAGGGATGGTCGGGTAGCCTAGTGGTTAAAACGTTTTCTTGTCCACCCAAGACCCGGGTACAATGGGTACAATGTGTGAAGCCCATTTATGGTGTCCCCTACTGTGATATTGCTGGAATAATGCTAAAGTGGCATAAAACCAAACTCACTCACTCCATTGATACAACCACTCATAGATGACCCAAAGGAAATGTAAAATGGACTTCCCGTTCAGCAGAGATTTCTATGAAGGAAATGGTTGTCACTTATATTTATGCAATGCTATTTCTGTCGTGCCAGTAATGGGAAGGGGTGAGGACTGTACTGACTGCATCAGCGTGGTTCTGATACAGTGTGGGGCAACACCTGGGGGATGCATCGACCTCTGCTGCAGTACCTCCACTACAGCAAATACTGTCACTGTTAAACAGGATGCCACTGGATCACAAGGATGTGTCCATGACCATTCTGCCTCTCCGACTGACATTGCAAAGATGTTAGATCCTACTGGTTCGCAAGACAAAATTAACTACAACCATTGACAAATTACAAATAATTGCATGTGTATAGTATTTTTGTTCATGGCGCTGCTTCAACAAGTTATGTCCCGAGTGAACATCAGTCCTAATCCGACATGATGTGTGGTACACCACTTACCTGAAGGTAGCAAGATGGCAGATAGATATGAAGATATGCCATAAATCCTTCAGATGATGTGTGAAAGATCTCATAGGATCCATATAATTTTGAGATGCCCCCTGCCAGCAATTCCTTCTTGGTAACTTAATCCCCACCTTCTAGTACCCCCCTCCCTCCCCCTCCTTAGTGATGGAGAACACATGTGTTGCTGGCTTTGTCCCTCAGTACACACAACAGGCTCTTCAATCACCCTCTTATCTCTTACCTAATGCAATGGGTTTATAATTAATGTTAATTGGGACAGGCTTACTGTGGGTCATGCTGCCTCACTAGCTACAGGAGATTCTAGGGAATGCAGTGTTAAATGAAATCATCTACTTCAAGATACAAGAAAAAGCTCATGGTGTTACTGTGGGTCATGCTGCCTCACCAGCTACAGGAGATTCTAGGGAATGCAGTGTTAAATGAATCATCTACTTCAAGATACAAGAAAAAGCTCATGGTGTTCAATAATACAATATAAAACATTTCAGCAAAATGGACTCAGCCATTTGGCAAAAGGGGCGGGGTTATCATTGTAATGAAGATATAAAATACACTGGAAAATAAAGCATGCATTCCTGAAGTACACATGATCACACCAAAACTAGTACCAAAACTTGGAAATTAGGCCAGTTTCTACTCTTGGGGGAAAATACCTTACCAGCATGATCAGATCATTGGACTGCATCTGAACCGTGTTATACCCTTCACTCAGGCACACACCCACCCTCAAATGGTGACAACTGACATCCCTATCCCTTACCCAGGTGCAGAACCCCTCCATCAAATGATGACAACTGACATCCCTATATCCTTCACCCAGGTCCAGAACCCCTCTCTCAAATGATGACAACTGACATCCCTATCCTTCACCCAGGTTCAGAACCCCTCCATCAAATGATGACAACTGACATCCCCATGTCCTTCCCTCAGGTCCAGAACCCCTCCCTCAAATGATGACAACTGACATCCCTTTATCCTTCACCCAGGACCAATACCCCCTTCCTTAAGTGATGACAACTGACGTCCCTATCCTTCACCCAATACCAGAACCCCTCCCTCTAATGACAACTGACATCCCTATATCCTTCACCCAGGACCAAGAACCCCTTCCTCAAGTGATGACAACTGACGTCCCTATCCTTCACCCAGGTCCAGAACCCCTCCCTCTAATGACAACTGACATCCCTATATCCTTCACCCAGGACCAATAACCCCTTCCTCAAGTGATGACAACTGACGTCCCTATCCTTCGCCCAATACCAGAACCCCTCCCTCTAATGACAACTGACACCCCTATATCCTTCACCCAGGACCAAGAACCCCTTCCTCAAGTGATGACAACTGACATCCCTATCCTTCACCCAATACCAGAACCCCTCCCTCTAATGACAACTGACATCCCTATGTGCTTCACCCAGGACCAGAAGCCCTTCCTCAAATGATGACAACTGACATCTCTATAACCTTCACCCAGGTCCAGAACCCCTCCCTCAAATGATAACAACTGACAACTGACATCAACTCCTTGTGATAGGCCTTGTGATGAACATTTGAAGATTCTTACTGCACAGAAATGTCACAGCGTGTTAACAGTCTCACAGGAAAGGTGCAAACCTTTTTAATGACAACTGCTTAATAGTTCATAGTGACATGACATTCACTGAGTTTGAAGTGTATTCTTCTTGTAGGCACCCTTAAAATTCCAAAGGGTAATAATCTTTTTGAGTGCCCTCAATGTAACTATTGATCAGTCCACATTGTCTGACCATCCTTTTTCCCAGACACTTATCAGAAGTAGGCTTATCATAGCTAGGCACCTGTAGCAGGATGAGATATTTGGGTTTTCACCACTTTGTGAAAAGGTTGAATTACAAACTTAAGATTATGAAGACATGAAATATTTTATGGATAACAACTTCTTTATTCTTCTTGACAACCTTCATCACCTGCTGAGGTGGCAAGAAGTAGCCATGAAATGTTGCTACAAAGAAAACAGAAGTTGTTATCCATATAATATTTCATGTCTTCATGTTCTTACAACCTCTAAGTGCCTACCAATAACAGATAATAGATAGATAGATGTGATAAATCTAAGTCAAACTGATGAGAAGACACAAGACCGGTCTTGTTCCACCTGGAGGTCGCACAAGAACAAGAACAGGAATCAATGTAACCTGGCATTCAAACCCAGGGTCAGGAGATCCAGAACTGCCTCGACATCATCACCTGGCCACCCAACCTCAATTAGTTCAAAGTAAACAATTATGAATTGTTTGATGGGCATTTCTTAGTAGTTGACGGATGACAAATAGACAAAAAAATTGTAAAACAACTTCTATATTCTACTGTAATGGCAAGATATGGTATAAATCCTTAGAACCTTGTCAAGCAACAGTGTAAGGATCAATACCAAAACGTCGCCATTACAGTAAAATAGTGTTGTTTTACAAAAATTGTGTCTGCTTTGAAAACATTTTTGATCCAACACTGTATCTGATGATCTATGCAAAAGTAATGAACATAAACCAAAACTGACTACCTGTTTCTATGGTGAGAGAGAAAGTAATGAAAGTTGTGCATTACCTTCCCTACCTGGGGGCAGTCCTTGATGTAGTGACCCTTGTTGAAGCACAGGTGGCACAGGTAGGAGGAGGGGGGACGTTTGCTGGGCTTGCGTTCCATGGACAGAGACAGGTCGCTGAAGTGGTCGGCCAGATCTTGTATACTCCCATAAGGTGACGTCGTTGACAGTCCTGATAAGCTGCCATTCTGGTAGTGGTTCTAGAAAAGCAACAAATGTCAATGTTCAGGGTCAACACCGTCTTCTGGATCACATTGCAAAATATGGTCATAGTGTCATGGATTTTTCTTCACTTGCTCAGAAGCTATTGGAACATTCATTGGAAAAATTGTAATAACAATTGTAGAATTTGTACTCACATATACTTTGGATTTGGTTGAACATTAACCTCTGAGGTCTAGTTAAATTCATGAAAATTCCACAATAATTTGCATTGCTAACAACATTATTGTCAAATTTGTAATTCCATTTTAAGAATTTCTAGTTACAGTTGGCTTTGAAAAAGTGACGTGATAATAGAGGAAGAGGCTATTAATGCTCATTTGTATTATTATATTTAAATGTTAAATATGCTAAATACCTCTTACTTAAGTGTAAAATGTAAGCATGGTTTCCTAAATAGATCCCTGACATGCTACCTGGATCTTCTATTTGCATTTATTGATGTGTTCATACCACAGGTACACAGGAACTCGGCATCCACAGATGTACATGTTACAGGGAGGCTTATATATTGATAATGATGCAGAGTGGATGTGGATGAAGAAAATTCAAAACCTTTGAAGTACTGCTACCTAGTTTTAAATATATTATGTACAGTTGTACATAGAAAAGTAAATTTCCCGACTTACTTTTATTTATCCTTAAGTAACACAATAAAGAAGTTGATGAAAGAAGTTGATAACCAAAGATGTATTTCAGTATTACAGTGATGTACCTAAATATTAAATCAAACATAGTGTTTCAATTGCTGCACACAACCCTGTGTACATATACGCTAGCAGACATGTGACTTTGTAGCTGACTTCCCTCCCCCTGAAGCTGAAACATGTCAGTTGGTGTCAAAACAATTAAACAACTGCCTGTCAAGAACCCTAACCAACAAGGTTTGTCCATTTCCTGGGCGAGATTTGGAAGCTGATGTTGTCAAGACCTTTTTTTAATTCTCAATGTAGCCCTGGCACAAGGTTGCGTTATTGTGAGCACTGGGATACAGGGCAGCCATTTCTGTATTTTGACAGCAGTTCAAATGAGATGGACATTCTCAGAAAGTGGGAACTCCCTTCCAACTTCTTGAAAGTAATGGGCAGGTTCAGCCACATGTAAACAAACACGGCTGTCTGGTGAACGCTCTTATGAAAATGTGCTATGTTTAGCCTGTCACTGTACTTAGGAAGCAATGTTGCAACTTGAGAGGGCAAGTTTAGGCTGATCTAATTACTTCAGACATATCGTGGTCAGACCACAGAAGTACTGGCCATGTTGGTCCAAAGTCCAACTCCACCAGAAATTCCAAGAACAGCATTATATAACGCTTGATACTAACCACAAAAATATTTAAAAAATAAAATAAAAAGTTGGGGACGAGGGAGATGGAATTGCATAGCATATGGCGACAGTATGTCTGAACGCTAAAGGCAACGTAACGCGATACGGGCAGGTCGGGGAGACGCACAGCTGGGTTTATAGAGCAGGGGAGGCCATCTTACTGCTAAACATATTGATACACATTTGGAACCTCATAAGAACACTCTGGTTGTTACCTTGAAACTACGATGACCACGATTAGCGCACACACCCGGGTTGTGACGTGACGTTCCACGTCAGAAATATAACTGACCGACTTTCAGTTGTACGAACACCCTGACATTTAAAGCTCTTTGGAACTTTGGGGAATATAAAGATTTGGCTGCCAAAATGTCAGCATCTTTCTTTACGAACGATTCCTTATCGCCGTGACCCAGTACATGAACGGGTTCGTTATAGAAACAGCAAACAATATTCATGACTTTGCTGTGCTTAGTATATGGTATACCATTAGATGAGGAATATTAGATATGGTACAACAGATTACATACAAAATAGATGGGGGATATAAGCTGGACTTACAGCGGTGTTGATGTTGGTGGCGAGAGCCGGCTGGGAGGTGAGTGCTGGACTGGACCAGGGGTGCTGCTGCTCTGTGTGTACGTTGAGACCATACAGATTCTGCGTCCCCCCTGTTTTCTGAAGTAGGGAGCTGACTGTGTTCACGGAAGAAACAGCCTGGGTTGAAACCTGGTTAGCTGACCAGGGATCGGAGTACAGGGACTGCCCAGTTTGTACATTAGAAGGGTGGGAGTCCGCCAAGGTAAGGTATACCCAGTTTAGAAGTTGTGCCGGCTGATATACTGAGGCGCTTGTGTCAATCGTCGCCAAAGACGTCATGTCACGTTCTCTCATGATTCTCCCCTGGGCCAGTCGCCACTGGAAAAGTCGCTGGTCTGACTGACTCTGCTCGCAGAACTACGCTTTTCTTGGATGCGCCGTTACAAGATGCCAATCAAATTTCGGCAACTCTCTAAGTCCCGCCTCCTGGTGCCCTTGCACGCGCCCCAAAATACGTCAACTTGTTGCTATGGTAATTGCCTCCGGATGACTGTTAGTGCCCCGTTCGTGGCACCCCTCTTTTATCCAGATGCGGTGAGACGCTGGGTCCAGGAGAAGGGGTGGCGTAACGGGATTATCTCATATGTTAACATCTTTGACATAGCTTTGAAAATAATTAACAACTCATTAACCAGTTCAGAAGGGTTTGTCAAGGAGTTTCCTGTATATTGGAGTCCAGCTTTTCCGGTGTGGCACCGCCAATTAGTTGTCAATATAATCCAATCTGAAGGTTGTAATATCTTTAGCAGTTGACAAATACACTCAACGGGGTTGTGTTTTGACACAGATCACGTATTTACACCACACGTGTTTATGTGATGACGAGTACACAATAGCTTTTCATGGGACAATGGCGGACTTTTGACAACATCACAAACAATGTTTTTAGGTATTTGGTATCATTTAGTCAACGCAAACGTTTTATACTCCTTTGGGGTATCGTTAATGTAGACTATATACTTGAAATGATCTTAAATAACACAAAGTATGATATAGTTTGGTATGAAATAAAAGGACGCGATCCAAACGTGAACACCGGTATCAAATTATTAAAAGTGGACTATTCAATAGAACAATTTAATGCTTGTACATCTTGTCAGTTGGGATAATTTAAGAAAAGATGGGATCTCTGTTCCATGATTGATAAAATTAATGCTATAATAGCAAGTCATTATAGAACTATGGCCAGGGTTCGAAATTCCTTGTATTTTAGTGACAATGGCACGATTAAAGTATGTCAGTCTCTGGGCACACCTATATATTATGGGTTGTTTAAACGACAGTACCTTGAGATAATGTGTGTTAAATGAAGTGGGTGATAAATGTACTTTCGCACAAGTAAACATGACAAGCACTTGGAAAGTTATGAACATGTATAATGCACAAAATAACGTTGTGTATTATCAACCGCAATGAAGAGGGGCGGTGGGGTAGCCTAGTGGTTAAAGCGTTCGCTCGTCAGGCAGAAAGTCCGGGTTCGATTCCCCACATGGTTACGATGTGTGAAGCCCATTTCTGGTGTCCCCCGCCGTGATATTGCTGGGATATTGCTAAAGGCGGCATAAAATACAACTCACTCAATGAAGAGGAAATGGAGCAATTTCTTTCTAAAATATGACTGCCTATTATTTAGCCTAAGTGAAATGAGATTCACGATGTCTCAAAAGTATTCTAGTTGACACAGTTACAGTTCAAAGGGCACACTGAAACATCTTTATGACATGTGGCATCCTTGAAAAAGTATTCTAGCTATCTCTGTAACATGTTTACATTCAATGTAGTGCATGACATGTGCCAGCAATCGTCATACCCAGTTGCATTGTTATTACAAATTATACTTAATATATATTCATAACTGTATATATAATGTTATGTGTTGTACTACTACACGTGGCTGTGTTCTAATGTGTGTGCGTGCTTGGACATAAACATTTCAACGAAGTCAATAACAAAAAATATTGATAAATGTTCATATTTCTTTAATCTCGATTTAAACATATTTATTTTCACAAAACAGTGAAAATGAATTGGTAAACAAGCGAAGCGCTTATGTTAATACCGCTCCATTACACATAAGACATGATACAATAAAAACATCAATGAAGGTTAGATGTAATTAATGAATTGTACATGCCATGTGTATATATAATAAATATATTTGCAGTTTATATTAAACAATTCATTTACTTCATTCTTACTTTAATCTCCGGCGACACCTTATTTATTTCATATGTAAACACGACTCATGATGATATATAATGTCATAATTATGCACTCGGTATTATAATATATCTATGCCATGCAATCTCACCATGCAATCAATGTTAGGAAACCTATAGTATTATGATCTACAAGCTCGACGCAGTGCTATAATATATAATTAGACTGAGCTGTATAGTGTATTAGATAATGTTCCATGGTCCGATGACCTAGATTTGTACGAACTAAAGAAGTGATATTTCAACACATCTATGTTAATTTTGTAACCTATAATTCTGTTTATGAAGTTCTGATTGAAAAGTGTTTCCATATCGGTTTTTTATAAGCCCGTCTAAGTACATATTATGTTATACTCCTTACATATACACACACTACAAATAATACATTTTCAGAATTCTGACAAAAAAGGAAACAAATCTATTTATACTACTATAAATAAATTGTAGAGACTATGATGTATAAATGAATATAATGCAGTTCAACTTCTGATTGATGGCTTTTTTTCGGGCCAGATTCAATATCTGTATATTCTCTGATTTTATTTTGCTTATTTTTCAGATTTGGTGCGTTGCTTTTGTCATTGTGAGAAGTATTTATATAGTCATGTACTTGTCGTCTTATTGGTCACCTTCCCTGTATTTATTATTTGGGAAATACATATTATTTAAACTAGATAGAGTCTTTGAGTGAAGGCTGGATTGAATAAAATGTTATTGCTTCAAGTTTGAGTGAGTGGGTATGGTTTTACGCCGCTTTTAGCAATATTCCAGCAATATCACGGCGGGGGACACCAGAAATGGGCTTCACACATTGTACCCATGTCGGGAACCGAACCCGGGTCTTTGGCGTGACGAGCGAACGCTTTAACCACTAGGCTACCCGACCGCCCCCTTCAAGTTTGAACTCACTTTTCAGTCGATACCATCAATTCATTTCAAAACTAAAAAGGTTTCAATTAAAGTGTATGCGTTCCCCCTCGTTATACGGCTTTCAAGTACAAAGTAAACAAATATACAAACAACGAACGAACTCATAGCAACTATAAACATCTCAATTTCTGATCGCAGGATAATAAAAATTGCGTTGTGTGTTGTTTATAACGCCGCAGTCAGAAATATTCCAGCTATATAACGGAGGACTATAAAAAAACGAATCTGGACCAGACAATTCTGTGACTGACAACACGAGCATCGATCCACGCATTTGGGATACGATGACATGCATCAACCAAGTCAGAGAGCCTGACGTCTTGATCCCGATAGTCGCCTCTTCCGACAAGCATGGGTTGCTGAAGATCTATGCTTACCGGGATCTTCACGGGTTTTGAGGTCTGGATACTGGTCACATTATGTGAAAAGTTATGAATATGATACTGTAGTCGGCGTGGACGTCTGCAGGTGGGGCTCCACGCCGTGCACGTCTTAATCACGACGGGGCGTTCATTGTACTACATCCCAAAACTGTCCGTATGGAAATAGGTAACATTACAGATGTTGAGAGTGGTACAGTGGCACAATGATTTGAGAGTGGTATAGATGCACCATGAGTTGAGAGTGGCATAGATGCACTATGAGTTGAGAGTGGTATAGATGCACCATGAATTGAGAGTGGTATAGATGCACCATGAGTTGAGAGTGGTATAGATGCACCATGAGTTGAGAGTGGTATAGATGCACTTTGAGTTGAGAGTGGCATAGATGCACTTTGAGTTGAGAGTGGCATAGATGCACCATGAATTGAGAGTGGTATAGATGCACCATGAGTTGAGAGTGGTATAGATGCACCATGAGTTGAGAGTGGTATAGATGCACTTTGAGTTGAGAGTGGCATAGATGCACCATGAATTGAGAATGGTATAGATGCACCATGAATTGAGAGTGGTATAGATGCACTATGAGTTGAGAGTGGTATAGATGCACCTATGGTTTAGAGTGGTATAGATGCATCATGGATTTAGAGTGGTATAGATGCACTATGAGTTTAGGGTGGTATAGATGCGCTATGAGTTGAGAGTGGTATAGATGCACCATGAATTGAGAGTGGTATAGATGCACTATGAGTTGAGAGTGGTATAGATGCACTATGAGTTGAGAGCGGTATAGTTGCACCTATGGTTTAGAGTGGTATAGATGCACCCTGGATTTAGAGTGGTATAGATACACCCTGGATTTAGAGTGGTATAGATGCACTATGAGTTTAGGGTGGTATAGATGCACTATGAGTTGAGAGTGGTATAGATGCACCATGAATTGAGAGTGGTATAGATGCACTATGAGTTCAGAGTGGTATAGATGCACTATGAGTTCAGAGTGGTATAGATGCACCCTGGATTTATAGTGGTATAGATGCACCCTGGATTTAGAGTGGTATAGATCCACTATGAGTTGAGGGTGGTATAGATGCACCTATGGTTTAGAGTGTTATAGATGCACCATGGATTTAGAGTGGTATAGATGCACCATGGATTTAGAGTGGTATAGATGCACTATGAGTTGAGGGTGGTATAGATGCACCATGAGTTGAGGGTGGTATAGATGCACTATGAGTTGAGAGTGTCTTGTCATGACATATTATAATGTTCATTAAGGTTCTAAATTAGCGAATTGATATCAATCAAAATTATTTTCAAGAATAACTGCCTTTAGGTCACATTCTCCGAGTACTAATACGGGGGTTAACCAATGCATTGGTTAACCCCCGTATTAGTACTACATTGACTATATATATATATAGTCAATGTAAGTCATGCATGGGTTAATATTTTCAGTTACACTGAAGAGCTGTCATGAGACAGCGAAAGTACTATGTATGAAACTGATATAAAGAAGATGATGGACTAACGTGGACTTTATTATTTTATTATATATATGTATATATATATATATATATATATATATATATATATATATATATATATATATATATATATAGTCAATGTAAGTCATGCATTGGTTAACTCCCGTATTAGTACTCAGAGAACGTGACCTATATATATATATATATATATATATATATATATATATATATATATATATACACCTGGACAAAGTGACAAACTCATATTGAAATTCGGAAACCGAAATCGGTTGTCTGATGGCATGTTACGTAACTGTTCCATTGCTATAGTTACATGACAACTATGTGAC